ATATTTTGCTTGTCCCCACGGTTGATCAACCAACTGTTACATGTGGATGATTGTGTTCGGCTCGCTGCCCCAATCCGTTGCCCAAATTCGTTCATCTTGTGTGTGAGACCCATATGTTGCTCTGCTCGGACGCGCATCGCACTCACCAACCAGATGGCTAATCGTTTTTGTGAATCGATCAACTTGTTGTTGTTTTTGATTCCATTTTAGAGATAGTAAACAAGTCTGCTTTCAACTGCTTCCAACTCTGCATCCCTTTACAGTCGTCTCCCACCGTGTTCTCCATCTGATCCCCAACGAGGCTCTCTCTCTCTGTATTCACGCATTCTTCACACACGGCGATTTGACTGGAACAAACCGCTCGTGCCTGATTTCGTTCAAGCACCGGACGCACTCGGGCGCGCTCGCTCGCTCGCTCGCTCGCACCGCGCACACACCGTTCACACTACAATAGCCTGATTGTTGGACTTGAGTAGATTGCTCCGAAGTCGCGCGACCAAATCGGACTGTCCGAAAGGTCATCAGGTTCCAGTCTGTATTGATCTATTCGTATGTCCCCCTAAATTACAGACCGTGTGTGTGTTTGTATTTATGTTTGTGTGTAAGACGCGCTCGGTCTTACAGGGTCTTACTGGTGCAGCGAACTGGGTCAGACCAGACGTGATTCGATTCGAGGTCAGACGGGATCCGGTCCCTGGGATCCGGTGGATTGACCGTTCACAAACTGGATATGTGGCTTGTTTGCCAAAAAGGTGACGCGAAAGACTGGACAGTGTGTGCATATGGGTGGGGGGGGGAACGAAATTCTACTAAATGCGTGGGTAGAACATGAGAAATATTATGCACTGGTTTGTATGGTCGTCATCCCCTCCCCCCGCTCGCCCGACCGTGAGTCACAGCCAGGACAACTGGAAGGACAAACGAATTTCCAGGATGATTCGGCACTACCGGGTGTAATTGTTCCGGTTGTTCGGAGTGCATCACTCTCGTTCGAGGATGAATTATTCACAAGTTATTCCATGTCACACACACACAGAGATCGGTGTTTTGCACAACACTTAGAGCAGTTAGGAAGTGGAAGCCTATGGGAGACAATTAAGTGTGGCATCCAGATTCAAACTATGGGGCTAGTTTGTGCCTCGTCTCAGCATATACAGTCATATATGTATATGTATGTGATCGACTGGTACAAATGACACTGTTCAGAAACGATTTAATGTGGACAATTTGAGTTAATTTATTGATACCGGGTAAAACCGTTCAATATTTATAGATTCACCAGTGTGTACTACTTGGTCTTCGATCAGTCGATTACATTTGACTCACCTATCAGACTGTCCCGCTTAGTTTTACGTTCGGATCACTATCGAATGGATTTGGGGTTTAAGATGGCCCTCGTGCTTCAACTACTGCATTGTCGACACCGTTGGGGTTGTTGTAAGCCATATTTGTCGAATTGTCTGAGCAGCCAGATCAGTCAACTCTTTGACCTCAAACGGGAATTTGTGAATAACCAACCTGGTCAGATCAGTGCCATCGCCCACTCATTTTTTTTAATTTGGTAAGCAACTTATCCTATCATCCGTTTTGGACGATCCGCATTTGTTGTGACCTGTCAGTCACGCATGAATGAGAATGATGTCTGGACTTGATACCTGGCTTGGGTCAGACCTGCGAGCAGGACAGAATGATTTATTAAAAATCAAAACTGTATTCCATTTCATCTGTTCGCCGTGCAATTGACAATTTGTTTACAAATGTTTCATCATCAGTCGAGGTGATATCTTGAGTGCTTGTGAAGTGGAATTCAGCTGAACTGAGCTACAAGAACCGATTTTCTGTACTTTGTCCATCAAAGCTGTGGTACATTCACACCCAAAGGTTTTTTAATAAATACGGTAGGTAGAGGAAAAAAAATGATACTTCCAGGATTATCGATTACTTTGCTTTTGACCCCGTTCAATTTTTCCCGCTTTAGTACTTCATATCTTGTCATAGTTTAACCCGGTCCATTTAATATCAGTGTATTCAAAAGTCTATCTGCCAATCAGGAATGAAATTTAATTTAAATGCTCCGGTTCATCAACGACGTCAATTATGCTCAGTAGCTAAATTCCCTTTGCAGTAGTAACCCGCGGGCATAATTCAGTAACCCCTCCACCCTCCCCTGCGGTTTTGGTGCTGATATTGCATTTCTCCACTCTTTTAAACTGCGCTCTCTCTCTCTCTCTCTCTCTCTCTCTTTCTCTCTGCGTGTACCTCCAGTTTCTCATAACCAATCCCAGGTTTTTTGTGNCTCACTTCATCAGACAATCTCTTTATCACTAAGCCAGCCGATATTATTTATTCTCTTTCATGGGGCAGGTTGAGCAGACTGTTTGAAACGTGCTTTGTGATGCTTGCAGAGTGTATGCCTAAATGGTCATACTGGTTTAGATTTATGTAGCTGGCATGAGAGTACGAAAATCCCAACCACGAGACTCGGTCATATAGGTCCCGTCAGGCTCCCTATAATTGGGGACCTCGGGATGTTCGTAACCAGTGACTAAAGATACAGCTTCATCCAAATGGACAGCCAAAAGACAGCAAGCAAAACCGGTGCACGAAAGTGCATGGTTAATGATTGTACAAACTGAACTGAACCATGAAAGCTGCCTGTGCGGTTTAGAATCTTGATTCTAGGATCAGTACATCAATACATGAAACCATATGTCAAATCACATTAGCTTGGACTGTATCACCCTAAAGGGAAACGCCGTTAACTCATTATTCACACGAGTATCATATTAAACTTCACCAAAACTACAAACACCAATGGAACGAGAACATTTGACACAACCCCAGACTTTTAGTCACGTAATTTAGGGCAAATCTGCGGTGTCAATCAGTAAAACTGCTAATAAATGGAACCCATGTGTCTGGGGAACCCAATATGAAATGACCAGACAGACCCGGGGTAACCGTGATGTTAAACTGCTGTGGATGACGTCCATGTACAGATTTGATCGTGGCTGAGGTGCATCATCTTTTCACCATTGGGTTACACGAAAATTTTGATAAATCTGTTAGTATTTGTATGATGTTCA